AACTTCAGGCAACAACCACCAAGTTATTTTCAAACCCTGTCCTCTGCTAATGTCATACAACCCCAAACCAGAGCCACTCACACAGCATCTTAGCAGCTACCAAGGTCAGCCGAGCTGGACTTTAAAGCACAAAACCTGACCAGTGTAGTTTCTGTTTGACCTGGTTCAACTTGGTTTCTACACTGTTTAAAGTGAGAAAATACAAGTCTGCCATGACAAACTAGTGGTACACATTCACCAGTCAAACGACTTGGCACTGTTGTCTCAGAGATGTTTAGCTAGACTTTAATATGCACGATGTCCAAAGATTAAACAAAGGTATAACTGTAAATGTGTCATTTCAATATATTGTTCTATGAATGCATGTTAAAACTTCAGCCACTTTTTGCTTCCATTTGATCAACATCACCTCTTACACCTGAACTTTATATAAAGGAAGGACTTTACTATGTCAGTGACAAACTGCACTTCACAAAGTGTCTTCTTCCGCAGTCACCTAAACAGTTTGTGGTTCATCACTGCAACATCTCACGTCACCAAATAAAGACGTATTAATATCAACAGACATTCAGCAGACCTGGAGCAGCATTAACTTCATAATAGAACTCCTGGTTATTTAATAAAATTCATCTGTTCACACCAACTGACCCTTTTAGCTCTGGTTTGGTCTCAGATCCTCTTTAGCTCCTAGATAAACTTTCTTCAGCAGCTTGGCTCGAACCATTGCTTGCTGCTGAGTAGGTAGTGCACCATGGGTGTACCACAGCTTTTTTGCCAATTTTAAACAGTGAAACTGGATCAAACTGTAAAACTCTAAAATATTAGAGGCTAAAAATTGTTATTGTGTTTTTTGTGATTATCATCTCTGCTTCACCCAAGCCTGGAACAGTTCTTGTTCTCCGCTTAAGCAGTTTTTTAGCCCTTACTACTGCACAACCTGCTGCATGGCCAAATGGAGCACACTCCCTGACCTGATGCATTATGTAGGACTATGTGAAATGACCAGAGATCCTTGATCAGTCCTGTTCCTAGGAGAACATAAAACCCTCAGCAGTGCTGTTCCAAACAGAGCAGGGCGTGCCTGAGGAGCAGCGGTGATGAAGGCTGCAGATCAGCTAAGCTTCCCTCTGCACAGGCCTCTCTGTGCTGCTGCACCACTACTGCTACTGGTGTCCGTGCAAATTCTCAGTCATCCAGGTCATAGTATGCTGAAAAACTTTAGAAGAATACATCTGGACATGGTTTTTGCTACTGGTGATGTGCGACTGCAGGAATGTGGCATGTTAGGCCATCAGTGTGCCAGGCAGTCAATTATTCAGGATGAACGCTGCCTGGATTGATGGATGGGAGGAGGTGTGGTTCAGCTAGCACACATGATATGACTAAGAGAGCATTAGCACAGCGAGCAGGGAAAGATGGAAATGAGAAAGATATTTGACTGAGCCCAGAGTGGTGTGATGTTATTTATACAGGACCAACCAAACCCACTCCCACCAAAGAGCCAGGCAGGCAGACGAGAGAGCTGAGGCGGCAGAGGAAGGAGAGGAGAGAACACTGCTGTCTCTGACCTATTTAGCAAAAGAAGAGCGATAAAAACGGCTGATCTAAACACACTCCGCAGTAGACAGCCACAGCTGAAACAGAGCTAACCACCCCAGCCCCGTAAAAATGCTAATCAAAGCCTGCAGGATTCAGAATAGCTTTTTAAGTGGGGCAGCCCATTTTGCAATGCTTTCGGCTCATGTCTCTCTTATCCATGTTGCTGCCTGTTTGTCCTCGGTCATAAATAAATCATCAAAAGCTCAGTTCCACTGAGCAGATGCACACAGCTCAAATGCTAGTGACTCTGCTCAGTATGGACGCCATCTTCTAACTGGAATCAATACCAATACACAAGGTGGGAGATAAATACACTGGACAGATACAGTGATTCTGTCTTGAGGCAAAGCAGCACATGGACTGGACCACAGTGCAGGTCGATGTACGAGCCACAACATGTCTGGATGTTTCTGAGAACTGTAGAATCAATAAGAAACATGCTCATTGATCTGCTGCTAGCACAGCAGTTAATGGAAAACAGGACAGAGGTTGCAGCTTCACTGTCAACACAACTAATGATTCTTGTGCTATTAAAAGTCAAACTTTGGCATTTAAGACTGCATTAACTAAGTTCTCCCTCTAATTTTCCACCGTTAAGGGCAAAACAAACCCCAGCAGTGTGCCTTTCATCTCCTCCCTCCGCTCCCCTTCGCCCTCGTCTCTGAAACTACATCATACTGTATGTGGTCATGACAGCCAGAGACAGCTGAGGTAGTCAGGTGGCGCAGCTGTAATAACCGGCTCCAGAACCAATGTATAGGGAACATAGAGTCCATGGAGGCCGTGGTTTTCAGTGGCATTGCAGCGACACAATGTCAAATAAAGAGGTTCACATTTTGGCGATGTGCATACGTACGTCTAACGTTGTTTGTAGAGGATACATCTGCAGTAACGCATCTAAATCACACAGAGGAATGTTTTTCCCAGTAATATTGATACAATACTAATGTTCTAGCCACTTTTGCATCATGTTCAGTGTTACATACTTGACACACATAACGTTATAGGTAACCCTGAGTTGTACAGTATGTGAAATTTCACATCATGCATTGATAGTTGAACGAACTTTTCTACCACTTTTCTAGTGGTGTTGATAGAATAAATGTTAACAACCTCTCATTAAAATGCTGCATGGACTGCAGCGTTATGTCTGGTGTAAACTGGACCAAAACTGAGCAAAAATTAGCAAAATTACTTCACTTGATAATCCAGGAAAACATTGGTTTGTGCTAATTGGACAACAAACCACTAAGGCTGCAGTCAGTTGACTCCAAATTACAACCAGAATAATTCAATACAAATGAACAGCAGTGAGCAAACACTTCGACAACATTTTACTTGATTTATCAGAATTGGTGCTAAATCCTAGTTAATGCAGATTTAAAGAACAAATCTGGTTTGGTCTTACTTTTGAAGCGTTGAAGTATTCACTAAATTAAAATTATAATGCACTCACAAGTCAGACGGTCAGATGGGTGATAACCAAGCTCAAACTAATAACTATTTTCACTACCAAATATCAATTCTTTGTCTCATCCATTTATCATTTGATATGTAAAATGTCAAACAGTGAAATATTTTCATTAGATTTCCAACAGCACAAGACAATGTCATGAAATTCCTTGTATCTGGCCACCAGTCCAAAAGTACACACAAATAAACATTATATCAAATACATCCAACACTTACCTGATTCTTGAGCTAGCTGCTGCTTCTTTATTCACCAATAAAATTATTGATAGTCAGCTCTAAATCAGTCGAACAGCATAGTCAAACCTATATTAGAAAACAGTGAGCGGTGCTGGGTGGAACACTCACAGAACTGAGTCAACTTAGCCGTCAGCTTAACTGTGCACATACAAAGTTCATTCCTGACACTTCAGCTTGGTTTCTGAATGCAGCAGCAACATCATCATGGCTGTGACAGCCCTTTCATCCTTTAAGGCCAAACGCAGCCAAAGGAAACCACCAATGGAAATCTCACGCCCTAATCATTTTGTAACAGGGCCTCTTTTCTGAACCTGGCTGCTGACACTTCCTACAGTCTGCGTAGCACCTTCAAGCGCAAGATGGGCTGTTACAGTCTAAACATGAAGAGGGGAAAGAAAACTACCAAACTGATGCTAATAATGCATTAGCACAAGTGGAGAATCTCATTCAAACAGGATATTTTCTGACTAACACTCTGAAGCACAGCAGATACTTTGGCCCAGTAGGTTTCCTGTAGGGCCGGTGTCTGACTGGACCAAACCAGAGCAGTCACAGCTGCAGGTTATCAGCCTGATGAACTCAGCGCCATTACTGACAAAGCTTCATGTTAGTGGGATGTACACAGAGAGTAATTAAAGGGGTTCATTCACCCAAATCACTTGCCTCTTATCGTATCTACAGGTTTCTATGATTCCTGTCATATTTCAGTGTAGTGACCAGCTCAGCTCATTTCCCTTCATCTCCAGTGTACTGGGTGGAGACAGAAAACGCTGAAAGGAAAAAAGCTGAATTATCTGCACAGACAGACATCAAGCCTTCAGTTCTGCACCTAAAGAACTTTACATTCATCAGCCTGGAGCTCGCTCAGGTCTGTGGAGCACTGTGGACTAATGGAAACTGTCAACAGCACACTCAAAAATGTAACAATTTAAAATTAGAAGTACTCTCCATGTAATGTTGTCATTATTCAGGGTGAATGCATGACAGACTACCAGCACACAGAGAAACAGCAACTTGCACTATAAGCACCTGGAACCCACAACTCAAACAGAGTTTGTGAGCTTAGATGCAGGTTGAAAATAGTGGCAGTGTCACATTTCACAACGTTGCAGATCACAGAGTCCAACATGGCTTCTGCAGACTGGTGCCAGGGGTCACAAGCATGGTGTTGGCTTTGATTAGTGCAAACTGTCAAGGTTAACGGGCGAGAAAATGATTTCATGCTGCAAATTGCTGCGTGTGTGTTGGACATCTAGTGACATGTCCTTGTGGACAGCAGCAGACAGGAACAACCACCTGGGGCCCCACACACTTTGGGCTCTAGAAACACGAAGGCCAGCCTGAAAGTCCCACATAACAACCACAGAGTGTAACTTCTCATTTCAGAATTCTATACATTTTCTACCCAGAACTCAGTTTCATGTCACACAACAATTTGTAGTCAGATCAAGGCAGGAAACATTAAAAATTTGACCAATTTTAACTCAAACAAACCTGAATACTCATTCAGGAGCTGTAAAATGACAAACTCCTACAGCTTTGAGAACAAATTTACCCCCCAACACACACACACCCAAACAGAGCAACCAAAACAGACACATTTTATGTATTCGTTGTGTATAGTGTGTATATAACATTGACACTGAGCAGCCAAACATCCACATGATGGTGCTTTGTGGAGCAGCACTCACCTGAAGCAGCAGCTGCTCCAGGAGGCCCTCCGGGGGTTGGCGGAACTGGCCGGGGCCAGGATTTAGCTGCAGACGGGCTGGCCCTCACCACCCCAGCATACTCCACAAAGGTCCCTGGAAAGTGTCCCTTCTCCTTGGTCCTCTCATTGATGCCATGTAGCCAGCCCTTGGGGCTCCGCTCGTCCCCCTCCTGGTACTCCAGCCCCACTGTTGCCATCAGTGAGGCCTTGGGGACGGTGAGAAGGTCGCCCGGCTGGAGGCTGATGTCATCACCACGCTCCCGCTTATATTCAAACAGCGCCCGGTACTGGAAACTGTCAGATGTCATGGCAACAGGAGTTCATAAGACTGTCCCAAAGTCAAAAATACTAATGTCACCTGAGATTTGCTTATTTCAAGTTCAACACTTTGAAAATACCAAACAGAAACTCTGTGAGTTGAAAATCCCTGAGGTGAAACTGCAACTCCGTCTAAACCTGGGAAACCTGTGATGGCTTCTGAGATCTGCTACGTCATGCTTACTTGGATAGCACAGTGGAAATGACAAAAATCTCATCCCTGAGGTGGAATTCAACACCGGTTTTGTCCTAAAACCGCCTGAAGAGCAGGTCCAACGTTTCTGAGTCCTCCAAGCACAACAAATGGGAAGAGAACAGTTGGCTGGTCTTTGCTTTAGTCCTGCAGATTCTGGTTAAATGTCTATGCAGTACTTTAAAAATACACAGTATAAATCCAGGTGTCGGTCACAGCTCTCCTGCCTGAGGCCTGCTGGGGTTTGTGATCCTAATGGACACACAGACTCACCAGCCTCCACACTGTGCTGGGGGAGATGGTGGAGGAAACTGGCTGATCTGGAAACTGGGGGTGCACAGTTCTCTAGGACAGGGTGACCTCCAAGCTTCTGCAGGTTCTTCTGATATTAATGGCAAAGTGTACAGTCTGTACGAGTCTACTGTCAAGTCTGACACCCACACTCACACGCATACACACACCTGAGGAAATCCACTGCAGTGCAGAATTTGGCTTCTTAGTCAAAGTGCCCCTGTGTGAGCTCTTCTGCATGAAATCTTGCTGCTCCCCCTCCTCTGGTCTGTGCAGCCTCCTGGCGCAGACACACGCTCCTGCAAACTTGCGAGGTTAAGGTCAACGTTAGTCACACACTTTTATTACGCACTTTTTGATTTTAAGGCCAGAGCACAAGTAAAAAATGCTGATATTTTACAGATGTTCTAAAACGCCGTGTGAATCATCCCTCACCTCTGTGCTTTGCGTGATAAACGACAGACGTTGAAACTATTCGTCACAACAAGCGTGACTAAGCGAAATGAACTTCAGATAGACGGCGTGCCCGAATAAGGTCGCTCTGCGTCAGACTGCCCTGTCCTCTACTGCCTGCAAAAACATCAGAAACTCACCTCTCCAGGTGCAGAGTCGAGCTCTTCTCCTTCCCCGACGCCTGGGTTCGCGACCTGTCCGCTCGGACACTATCTGAACCCCGCAGAGCGAGACCAGACATCCGTGAAGCCCCGTTACGATAAACGGATGGCGTGGCTGGTCCAGCAGACAGACAGCCTGCTCGGTGCTGTAGTGAGCGGCAGTGCTGATGTCGGTAAACCCCTCCTCCTCCTCCTCCTGCCGTCTGCAAATTGTGCCAGCCAAGCGGCGGAGATGGGACAGGTTGGTGTGGCGCACCGCTGCTGCAGCGAAACACGACGTGTCCCGGTTATGATGCTGTTAGTCCTGCTGCATTTGTGATTTTGGTTTTTAATCTGATTTATTGTTATAATATGAATGTGAGTGCTGCAAAGAGATGATGAATTAGAGGCTATGTAACTCTGTGGATAGGAGTCGCTGCACGTAGCTCTGTGCACTCTATTAGGAACAAGTAAATCAAATAAAGGATGGAGGTTATCCTTCAGAGTGGGTGGCGAGAGATCAGTGCGCTCCTGATGACGCAGCAACAGACAGCGCCAGGCTGCAGCGTCATCGGGAGTGCAATGTTTTGGCCAGGAGGCGCACAGCACATTCAGGATCTACTGGAATGGATTCATTTAAAGTGCTGATTTTATTATTATGCCCAGTCTCACAAATCCTAAAATGTCATGCAAGTCACTGTTTGCATTTTGAAACTCAGCACAGCTCATAACTAAGTTTGAAATAGGGAAACAGCAGCAGCAATGAATAACAATTTAAAGAGAATTATTATGTATTAGGTGAAAACACAGTAGAGTTGTGTGGAGATGTTACCCTGAACTTCACCTTGGCTTCATCAGGATGATGCTGTTCCTCCCATCCACTGTTGTCATGGTGCCACCCTGCACACAGCACAGAAGCGCAACATATTCCTGGCATTATAAGGTTCAATATCTATCTATCTATGGGGGGGTTGCATGATATCTGATTTTGAAAAAACTCTTGACACAGCCTACCTTTTGAAAACATCTGAGTAAATCTTTATAGAATCCCTAGAAATTCAATTCCTTACTCTCCTAAAACTGAAACATCATTTTCTGGCTCCAATCTTCATTTAGGGCAGTAAATTTGAAAGTTATCAGCTTTTCCAATCTTCAAGCCATGTCCAGGACAAAGGTAGCACAAAGACTTTTTGATTTACAAGTCTGAACTTGTTCACTGAACAGAGACAGAAAAACAAACTACTGTGGTTTTAGCCGAAGACTAGTGGCAACCTGCCTATATACTGTTCACCATGGATGTATTAAGCAGCACTGTTCACTCACACTCTTGACTTTAACTTGGTTACTTTTGCCAGATTTTACACATAGGTTTGTCTTCTTTGCATCAGATTCATTTATTTTACTGTAGACTGAAACTGATGCTGCTTTTTGACAAGTGCTTTGAATAGTAATTTCCAGTCTGCAGATGCTAATTAGCCTGATGCTAACTCGAATGCTGTTAGAGCTTCAATTGTGCGATTCCTGTTAAAGAAAAAAATGAACTGAATTAAAATGCCCCATCTTCCATTTGTAGTTTTCCTAAAATGTTTTAGGGCTCTTTTCTTTCGTGCAGTGCAGTTCTCTCTCTGGTGTCTTTCCTGCAGAGCCACTGTTATATAAACCCCTCCATCCTCTCTGTTGTGACTCATCTTTCAAATGAAGGCCTGCGGGCACCATGACAACAGTGGCTGGGAGGCATGATCATCCTGATGAAGCCACAGAGCGACTCAGGTTAACATTTGCACATGGCTGCAGTGTTCTCTCCTAGCTGACCATCATTCTTGTAAAACTGTTGCTGAGCTTTCCCTTCAAATTTCCCTTTTTAAACTCAGTTGTGAACTGTGTTGAGCTTCAAACTGTAAAGAGTAACTTGTGATAAAGTGTGTAGTTTTAAATTAATCCCTTTCAAACCTTTGCAGCAAAGACACACAGACAAATAAATAAGTGAAAAGAGATACTCTTCTTCCATCATCTGTGTCTATTCATCAGGACAAATGCACCATTAATGCAAACAGCAAAGAGGCAATTTGTATCAATCGATGTCTAATTAACTGGATTTGAGCATCAACTACTGTTGTATTGACTTTTCCCTTTCTATACAGTGCACTACATGAATGAGAGTTTAAGGAAATACAGCAGATATATTTAGAAAATAGAAAAGTTAAACATGGTCAAATAAAATCTAGCTGTACTATTCTTCATGAAATCCTGTTTTGTTATAATCACACTGTGTCATGTAGAAGCAGTGACTTCCTGGAGGCCCCGCTGGTTGCCTGGCAACCTCACAGACCAGACTTGTTTCAGGCGAAAGAGCCAAAAGTACAAATGTTAAAAACAGAAAAATCAATTGGGTGTATAAACAGATTTTGTTTTTATTACGTCCTACTTGGTTATCACGCTGCACACCTTCAGATCATTGTTGTCTTGTGACCCTTGAATCTGTGAGGCTGATTCCACTTTTGATAAAAAGAGTTTAAAAAACCTGAATGTGGCAGAGTGTGCTCATCAGCGTGTCAGTGCACGTCATGACCTGAACACATGTGTGTGGCAGCATAACAAGATGTCTACATAGATGCGCCAATGCCACACAATTACACACACACACTCCCTTTGTTTATATAACCCTTTTCTGTGCTGGGTATTAGGATGCGCTCCAGCGAGCAGCAGGGGTCAGAAGCTCCCTGGTGGCCCAGGAGCACTTCCTCCAACATGCGCTCGCTCAGATAAGATCTCTGTGTTGTCATTTCAATAACTCACAATGTTACTGCAGGGAAAATTTGTTCTCCTTATCACAAGCAAACATGCTTTTTGAAATTGCAGAGAGTTGGAGGAACAGGGAGGATGTAAATGTACAGAGGCACCTGGTTTATTTATGAACCTCAGGCCAGGTTTGGACACAATCAGATGTGCAGCAGGAGGATTACATGGACATTTAGCTGACGGCTGTGACTACAGCAGAGCGTCCAACTATAGCACAAGTTTACCCCCACACAGAGACATGCTTTATGCTCTCCCATGCATGCAGCATTGAAGGACAACCTGGTTTATCACAACCTACCAAGTCTGAAGCAGGAAGATGATCTGTAAACCTGTGGGTGTTTTAATTTTATTCTCTGCTGTATGCAGTACTGAATGGAGTTTCATTTGGACAGTAAAATAAAATGCTGCAACCTGCATTCGTCTGTTGCTGAAGCAGAAGACACTTTAATTCCAGCCAGCCAAGGTGACAATGCACAGCATCTCAAAGTCTCAACATCACAGCATGGTTTCGAGGTTTGACTTTAATTCCAGCCAGCCAAGGTGACAGCGCACAGCATCTCAAAGTCTCGACATCACAGCATGGTTTCGAGGTTTAGTCCCATTGCATATGTACGAACAGCAAAACCCCAAAATCTGTGCTCACCAGCTGTATCTGACAACACACACTATGACCAGAGGTGCCACAGAAAGTTGAACATGTTGAATTTCATCAACTGGAACTTTGCAAGTATTAAAAAGAAAACGGGGGTGCAAAAAACCTTCTATGATTAGTCACCAACACATTCAGGAGCAAACTGCCCAGTGCTCAGTTCATCTTAGATCTGCAGGGGCTTTTGTCATGGAGTTGCACTGTGTCCATCTGATCACCTGCACAAGAGCAAACTGCCCAGTGCTCAGTTCATCCTAGATCTACAGGAGCTTTTGTCATGGAGTTGCACTGTGTCTATCTGATCACCTGCACACACACCAGCTGTAACCTTTGGATCAGGGCAACAGAAGACAGAGCTTGGTGAGTCCAGCCCTAATGTAATGCTGTAGTACAAACTACAAATGTTTCTTTTAACATGAAATGAACACACAGAGAGAAGAGAGATGACTGTATGACACAGTGGCACCTGCAGGACTCTGAGATCTCACTGGGGAGGAACAAAGAAACAGACCTTCCCCCACAGCACAGAAACAGTTTTAAAACTTGTGGCAGGTAGTTGGTCTGTCAGTCACAGGGCTGACACTTAGAGACAGGCGATGACTCTTGCTCACATTTAGACCTATAGAGGAAAATACTGGAGCACAGCAGCAGGTGCACTTCGTATGTGGGAGGACAGCGATAAGTAGGGAATCATGTGGCAGAGACGCAGATTGATCACAGGTAACCCGGGGGAGGGAGAAGGAGGTTAACACAGCACAGGTGTGGTGTCGCTGCTGTGCAGATGTTGTCCTCATGTTTCCCTGACCATTGTCCCGCCTCTCTTTGTCCTCGCTAACACCACAACGTGTTGTTCAATCTACAGTAACATGTCTGAAAAGGTCCACGTCTTAACTCTGTGCCTTTGTCTTAAAGACAGCCAATGTAAGACAGAGTGGTAATAAAATCGGCCTGGGACTCTTAACTCATACTGACTCACCGTCACAAACAGCCTGTGTCTCCTCACAGGAATCATGTAATAAACAATATTTGTGATGACAAATGATTTGTAGAACAATACATGAAACAGGAACAGTCACCAGCAACACAGTAGTCATGTGAAACCCACTGCCATAAAACAAGACCTGAATAGATTCAATGTGATTTGGTCTGACTTGGGTTCCAACTGAGTGGATGTGTAAGGTCTCCTTCCTCTCTACCCTCCATGACGTGCACTGTCACATGACTTTGGTGAAGCTAGACTCTGTGCTTAGGGTTAGTGATCCATTTGAAATTTTCCTTTCACTCAGAGTGCAAAAGACTGAAGTGGTTTTTAATGGTGGCATAATAGATCAGAACAATGTAAATGTGTAGGTCTGGTCCTTGCAGTGTTTACGTGCACATCTTTAAGTCTGCACTAACTGAACATAACTAGTCAGACAAAGTTTCACAGCTGGAAGTTTATGAACTACTAAAGCTGATTTGTTCATTTTCTGATCATGACTGAGAACAAAGTTTCTCCTTGTCTTTTCAAGATCTTACAGCTGAACAACCTAGTCTCTTTCTCCTCCTCCTCCTCAGAGGAGTGAAGCAGAGACAAAGGGTGTTTTTGTTATTTCACTTTTTAACTCCTGTAAGAAAGCAGTGGGGGGAGGATGAGACTGATAGTACATAACCCTGAGAGACCTTTCATTTTTCTTCTATGTACTTTTTTCTCTCTTTAAATTTCTGCTGATCCCTCAGCATTGACTACTGTTGCCTGCTGTGAGTGTGCAATTCGCACAGCTACAGTAAAGAGAAAAGGTGAGTTCAGATTTTTGCTTTGTTGGTAAGGTCAGAGCTTCTCCACCGGGGCAACGGTTCTGTTTAAACATTTATACTGGAGTGCTGAAAATGTATTAAAGCTAATTTTTTATGCTTTTTTGGGAGTACAGATATTCATGACACAAACGCTATGTTTTCATTGTTTCAAGGGACATTACGTTGACTTGCACTGATTTCATGGAGACTTACATTAACCATAACCATAACCACTGCTTGCTAATA